TGTTTGGTTAGGTGAACTCAATTTCTAACAACAACGCAGTCGGTCGGCAGCTATTTTTATAAACAAAAATATATGAAAAGTATGAACATTTTATCAATTATTTCAATTGAATACATCAATAATCATATATATAATTATATTAGACACTATTTGAACATAATAAACTAAGGGTACCTGATATGTTCTGATACTATACTCATACCTTGTGTAAAATTCTTACGTAAAATTAACTGTTCACTAGAAATATAATGAGATATGAATGCAGTGTTTATTATTTTGTGGGATATCTGAGTAATTTAAGTTTAACTAGGAAGTCCTGTACATTTTACTTTGGGACTATCCTTTACATTTTATTTTATAATGGCAAGAACGTAACTATCCTTTAAATTTTAGTTTAGAACTATTTTAGAATGACAAGAATTATCCTTTACATTTTATTTTAAAATAGCCAATCAGATTCCTAAATTTCATTTTGTTATTTTAGAATGACCAATGAAAACTCCTCTTATATTTAGTTCTTCCCTGTAAATTTTACAGGAAGTCAAACTGATTTAAGATCGGCTTGTGGCTGAAAAAAAAAGTCCTGCATAAACGATCCAAAAGAAATTATTTGAAACATACTTTTTTATACTGGTATGGAATTATGAAAGACTATTTGGTTTAGAAACAAGAATTTCTGTAAGTCTTAAATTACTTAAGTCACTATTCATACATTTAGTATCATCATCAAAAGATGAATTAAAGACGATATATACTTGTATTATGTATAATATTTTGTCTCTCTTCTTTGGTGGTGGCTGAGTCTAATATTATCTAAATAATTTCTTGTTAGTATGTCTATTTTTTATATTTTTGAAAGCCTTGCTTAAAATAAGATTTTAAGATTTTGCACTGTACTTGTCTTGATATGCTACCTTCGTGAAATAAAGAGTTGTTTATTATTATTATAATTATTATTATTATTATTATTATTAGTATGCACCTCATTTTTCACCAGCATCCTTACAAACATTAAGACAACCAGTCTGATATTGAATATTCAAGTGTCCGTAATATATACAAATATATCTTTTCTTTTTATTTTTTTCTATTTTTTTTCAGTTGAAACAGTGTTTTATTTTTTTTATATCGTTTACTGTTACATTTTCAAACATTTTTCAGAATTCCAGGAAACAATCCTGGCGGAAAATGTCAGTATGGTGATTAATGAAACGTGTTCTGTTGGCATGTATAACTCTGCAAGCGTTTATCTGTCAGTGCAGCAAATTGAAACAATTTGTTTGAAGTTGTTTCCTGATTTTCTTTCCAAAGGAAAACACATTTTTTTGCTGAAATGTAAACAGCAACTGATAGTTTTCTGGGTCTTTGCAGTGCAGTAGACAAACATACTGCAAATCAGTCAGTTTAAAGAAATAACTAAATATTGTAAATTCAATAAAAATCGTATTTGATTAATCAAAATGTCAAAAGACAATTGCTACATATTATATATTTTAGGGTCCATGACATTAAATTACTTTTTCTTTTATTTGAAAAAAAATATCACTATTTGGATAAATAACTCGTACGATGACAGGGTATTCAAACTAACATTTGTTTAAGACCAATCTCTAAAATTAGTTTTCTGTGCTGAACTGCAAATCAAATAATAAAAGTAAAACTTGTCCTATAAATTGTCCTCCTTAAATTTTCATTTCCTGAAACCGGCAGCTGTTCTCTCGCAATACATCTTGCTGATTCACTTCCTTGAGGTAAAATTAATTACTACAATTAGAACATGCCTTGTATGCTGCTATGTTATAAATGTTTTTATTATTATTTCCCTGTAAAGAAACAATGTAATAACTGCAATATCCGTTTGGAGTCTCGCTTCAGTGAATTGATATTTAATTACTTCATACAGCAGGTGGACAACCTTTTATAATGATGTAAACAATTTCATAGTTTTATTTCTTTAAGCATTTTGTCATTCCGTATCTCACTGAAGTGTGATACAGATTGTTCCTGTCGTCCGTACGTGTGATTGTGACGGTGATATATAGAAAAATATTGGCAGGTTTATAGTAGAAGATGTTATATTGAATATTAAATTAGCCACCAACAGTTTTGCTGAGGGTTTTATGGTTTGGAGCAAAAATATTTAAAATAAAGAGTAGAAACATATAAGAAAACAATTGGCGTTACTTTAATGATCATTCACAATGAAAATGACATATAAGTGGACGGTACAAGTCTCTTTCGTTGTGATTGATCATGAAATCTTTTCTACGGTCATTCACAATGTACCTCTGATCTAGCATGTACAGAAGATACTGCCGTCATCTAGAGGATAAACTACAAAAAATACCTACTTTATATAATCCTATCCAAATAATACTTGTTACTAATAAATAAAATGAAAAGAAATCCATTTACTTATAAATGAAATATTAATGAAATAAAAAAAATGGATATCTTCCTTTTCCATTTTTTAAGTTAAAAATATTTTTTTCTTACTGCAGTGAAATATTTTTTCCGTTTTTCAGTGCTGTTTTGTTTACTTTCTGTGCCGTTCAGCCATTACACAAAAATGTAAGAGAAAGTCTTTTAAATCGAAAGGTTAAAAAGGAGAAAAAGTATATAAATACAGAAAAATCTTTTTTTTATGAAAACATTTATTACGAGGGTTGTTCGAAAAGTAATAGGACTGGGAGTCTTGCGTATTCAAAAATCATTCAATTTAGAATATTGTCATATGTACAGCAATCGTAAAATGTTTTCTACAAATCAAACATAAGTTTTTTAATCTATTGTGCTAAACGCGCTTTTCCTTTGCTATTGAATAACCATGGTAACACGCACCCGGCGCAGCACATAAATATAGTTGTTGGAGCTATGTTCTACTTCTAATTTGTTCATAAATAACTATTTGTTTTCCCCTGTATTCCATCAATACGTTGAAATATATTAATGTGACATTATGTCCAAATTTGAAGTCATTCGGACATGAAATGGCCTATTTATTAAGTTTTGAACAGCAGCTGTCATAGCGTTAGATGTAGAAATATGACATTTGTTAACAAACAGAAAATGTGTGCCATCGTTAAATTTTGCCAACAGATTGACTATAATCATTCAGATACACACAAAATGATTAAATAAACAAAGGACAATTATCCTGCCATCAAGACACTTGTTTTCAGCTTGCACAAGCAATTCAAAACCTGAAAATACAAGATCAATAACGAGAAAGGGTGATGATGAAAGTTGAAAATTGACGGGACGTTAGTGACGTCAATTGCAAAAGCGCTACAAAAGAATTCACGGTAATCGGTACGCGAATAGTTTATCGTTTTTTTATCTGCTTCGGGTCTACTTATTCAGTTTTAACCAAAGGATTATAAATATAAGACATTTGTTATAAACACTATTCTATTGTATTTAACTAGATATACGTGTAATCAATAAATTAATGTAATAGTTAACGGAAATAATAAGTAGTGTTTGCCGAAAACTTGTTTTAATAAACGATAGACCGTGCTAAGTAGAAAAGGATACTTTTCAATTGAGAAATATCTTTATTATTCTGTATATAATCATATTGTTTTAAACACAATGACATGAGTAAATTTATAAAATAAATTGCTTTTACTTTAACATTTTCAGTCCTATTGAGTTCCACGGTAACTCAAAAAACACGAGAAAACCCGCAGAATGCCCGGCTATCGGGCATTTATTTTATTTTGTTTTTTTAAACAGTGGAACAAGAATGTGATATCGCTTTTTTTTCTTGCTTCATGTCCACATATGAGGCAAAGTAAAAGTTACATGACTCATACAACTAGAGACTAAAGGAGACTACTTTCAGAAAGAATGACGCTTATTACAATTTCGATTTATTTTACGACGTCATGAACGTCAATTATTGTATTGTTAGCGTGCGCCGAGTTTCGTACCCCTTGTCACTTGAAAATTTCACAGAAATTTCATTTCTTTACATTTTGTTTTGATTTTTTCACTGTATATAGAGAACATGTTCCGATATTTGTCTCATGTAAAATTTTGTACGTAAATTTAAAAATGTGAACAGTAAAGCTGCAGTCCTATTACTTTTTGAACAACCCTCGTATATATACATGTACTAATAAATGAAATATTGAGAAATATTGATGAAATAAAATGTTTACTTTTTCGTTTCCGTATTTTCAAATACATTGTATTTATATTTCACTGCAGTGAAACCTATTTTCTGTACTTTCACTGCTTGCATACTTTCTTCTTATTTCAGCCAACAAACACACTCTAAGTAGAAGTCTTTCAAATTGCCACATGTAAAAAGAGAAAACTGTATACACATGTATATATATACACAGAAAATTCAATTTTTCTAGGATTTATTTTCATCTTGTGATATGGAAATTATCATATTTAATACAACTCGAGGAAAGTAAATTCTGAATTTATAGAGAAAACTTGAATATCCTCTGTTATCTATTTTCGTCTCATGATAATTGCAAACCGTTCGATAAAATAAATCCATTATTTATATAAAAAAGAAAGAAAGAAAAAAAACTTGAGTATCTTTAATTGATTTCTTAAAAATGGAAAGGAGCGAAAAGTAGGAATTATTATAACTCTTATAAATCTAACCAATCCACAATCTGCATTTGTACTTCGTGACCGTCCAATATATTCCCGTATATTGGATTCAGTTTTTTTTGTCATATTGGACAGTTGGATACATGTGCACGATGCTGGTCTGGTTTCCGATTTCAATCTCTAACAAATTTTGACAGGGGTCACAGGGCTGTTATTGATGATGGTGGAAGTGGTGGTGGGTTTGGTGGTTATATTGATGGTATTGATAAAATTAGTAGTGGTTTTGTTGCTGAAACTAAATGTTGGTTGTGTGGATGATGATATTGGTGGTGGTTTTGTTGGGGTGATGAAGATGATAATATTTCAAATTAAGCGAAAGATATATAATTAAACCTATAAATATTTATTTTGTATTTTTGCAGAGATTTGAGTTTGAATCAACTGTCCAATCTACCAGATCGTGCCTTTTCAGAGCTCACTCGCCTAAATACATTGTAAGTTTTATTGTTGTAAAGAGTAAAATATGCATGGTATGACATAGAAACGATATATTGAACGCGTCAGATCATATTATGACTTATATGACCTCTTAATACTATCAAATATATGAAATTGTTGTCTTTATGTATGTAAGCCATGTTGTATCTACAAGAAACATAATTTAATTTATTAGGTGTAAAATGAATTAGAGAGGTACGTGATTATATAAAGCCCACCGTAAGTATATGCTTGAGTGACGTATGCTTACTTCGAAGCCAAAATCAAAAACATCATTTAATTCAACTATTTCACCATTACTGATATATTAGATCTCTCTCATTGATGATTCAATTTAAAATGATGCTCGTTATTCGATAGTGAAGATAAAAGTAGGTCAAAATAATGAAGTATTACACTTTATAATTAGATAAGATATTGCCTATCAGAACCGTAATAAATATTTTAATTATTTTTGAACAATTTCTAGAGGACATGGATAATCTGACATTAAAAATTCAATTTACTTCCTTGTACGAAGTTAATGTTTTTCATTGAAATGAAATGAAGCTGTAGCAGAGGCATTAGGAACGTAATAATCATTTTATTTCTTCCTGTTCTCCAAATTAATGGAATCCTTTATTAATATGAGTAACGGAGAAAGACTTATATTACATGTCATCATTTAATTTAGCTATTCTGGTCGCAGGAAATATTTTATCTTCATAATTATATCAGTATATACTATTTTGTGTGTTTATTTTTTTTCCATATTCAATATTTTTTTTGTGTTACTTTTTCGATAAACAATAGCAAATCATCAATTCGTAGTTATGTTTTCGTTATTGAACCTGTAAATGTTTTACATTGATGCCTGAAGAACGTCATATTCTTCCATTCTCATAGGTAAAAGTTTATCTTTTGATTAAGGTGTTACAGTATTTCAAAATAACAGCCTTACTTTCAAATTGTTGTCTTATTTTCTTTTTTGAAAATATTTTTTTATTTCATTTCAAAATATAAAGACCTCCATAAGTTATGAAACTTTATTATTTATGTATTTTTCTTTCTTTCGTAAGATATAACAGGCATGTCGTTTAGAAACCGTATATATACAAAATGTACCATTATTACCAACCTTGTCCGGCTGTCTAAATACTTATTAATAGATAGTTTAAACTATTCCAGAACAGTTTGCAATTAATGTTGATTGTGATTTAAATAATTTATATCATTCACATTATTATGTCATTATTGTATCAGAAATATTATTATATTTTATTATTTTATACAGGAGTATGGTTAGCAACTCTATATCAAGTCTTTCAAGTAACGTATTTTCAGGATTAAATAAGCTGGAACACCTGTAAGTATATGTTTCTGTTTAAAAATCGTAGGTCGGTCTGTACGCTCTGATACTTGGCAAATGTGCGATTTTCCGTAGAAAACAAACTATTACAGTAACATTTGATATCGATATTGAGATCATTTTATTGAGGACAGTAGTGCACCGTGTAGCTACACATGTATAACTGTAAAAGTTTGTAATCCCAATGTATATTAAACAATGATTTAACTATTCATATTTTAAATTGTTTCAATTTAAATTTTCTAAAATAGTACTAAATGACCTAATTAACTATATATTTTTCTAATAGGGCTTTGCCAAACATTTAGTCATTTTATTAAATATGATTTCGATAAATTTCTAAAACACAGCCAATTTTCATGATGTAAATGAACGCATAGAAAATTGACTGTTAATATGATTTAAAGATGCCAATTGCTTTGATCATAATATGCATCTAGTTTTGATTAACATGTTTAAACATGAACAACTATACATGCAGGTATCTACAAGGTAATACATTACAATCAGTTCCTGTGGCGGCTTTAAGTGACCTTCCTTCTTTAGTTACATTGTAAGTATTTAATGCACTAATGTTGACCGTAAATTATAATGTCTATGTATGATACAAATTGATTAAAATATAAAGAAAATTGAACTAGCATGGATGGTAACCGGTGTATAGATCATTGTTATATTAATTCAAGTTTTAATGAAATGTTTATACAATTTTAATATAGAGCCTTAATAAATCTGGAAAAGGGTATTACCGTAACAAACCCGAAATCGCGACAGTCACCATGTAGTGATGTTTTTAACTGTGACGTCATTATTTGTAAAAAATATCACTATGGCGGCTAACACACATGTCAACTAGGGTCTATATTTCTCTATGAAAGATATTTGTAAAAGTAAATTATCATATAGTTCAGTTTAAGAAAATTTAATGTCTTTTATTGTGCGGCCATTTTGTACTCATTTTCTGCTACGTTTTATGATATTTAAGACTAGAACTTTTATGTAAATGTTACTATTTTTAGGTATCTAGATAACAACAATATAACAAGTGTGGCAGACGACAGTTTTGCGTCATTAAAATATCTTGGTAACCTACGCCTGGACGTAAATCTTCTTACAGAAATACCGGTGACAGCACTTAACAAAGCAAGAACTTTACATGCAATGTATGTTTTGAATTATCAATCTTGTGTCTGCTAGGGACAACATTTGTGTATACATATGCGACCAGTGCAGACCAAGATCTCAACCGGCACGCCCGTGTCATCTGGTCATGGTCTGCACTGTTAGCTGTTCTGTCAGTTGTTATTTTATAATAGCAGACGATTAGAGTGTATCACATCAAATAAAGAAAATATCAAAATCTGTAAATCTTCTCACTTTAAATTTTATAATGTAATCAAACATTTTCAGAAATAAATAAATGTACAGTAATAATTATATCATTGAGACTCTCCACGCTTGCTACATTTGACATGTGCTACATTTGACATGTGCTACATTTGACATGAAGATCCATTTGTCTTAGAATACTGATACTTTCTGTATACAAATAAATGTTTATTTTACGATGGTACAGAAATCACATGTCAGAAAACGTTTTTATAAAAACGATACAGCGAGCTGCTCAATGATTCACAAATCGTTGTTATCATTTATGTCGCTGGGACGAGTAAAACTAAACCCTTTAAATGTAACCTAAGTTCCATAGCATGATTTAATACTCATTAAAGCTTGTTTGAAATTATAATATTGCAAAAACATGTCTTACATTTTATTTTAGAAACTTTGGTTCCAATCAGATAAAAGAAGTTCCAGATTACGCATTTGTGAATTTAACAAATTTAGCTCTCGTGTAAGTATATTTATATACTGACCTCGTTTAGATTTGATGATTCTGATATGGAAACTCATTAAACTGCTAGCTTTTTAAACATGTAAATTTTAACTGTATTTCAATTATGAGCGCTAAAAATCATTATTTGAACCTACATATTATGATTTGCGCGTTTCTGTTTAGGATTTTTTTAATGACCTTACATAAGTAATACAAATAAAAAATATCTCAAATTACTTTCTAGGTTTTAGTAGAAAAATGATATATGTTCAAAGTTCTAACAATTGTAAATAACGTATTTTCCAGGATTCTATCAAATAACAAAATCTCACATATCAGCGAAAATGCCTTTTATGGACTTCCAGTATTGAAACTTTTGTAAGTATAAAATATAAGATTAAAAAAAAAAGATTTAAAATAGTGACATATGTCAATGATTTATATATTGTGTATGTTTTTGTTTAAAATCTGTTCATGAAAATATATACATGTGCTTTGGCTATAACAAAAGATAATAAAATGGAAATAGATAACGTGCGATGTTAATGTCATTAATCATTCCATACAAAAATAGAATGCCGCATTATGTATATGAATGTTCTGCTGATACTGATTGTGTACAGTCTTTTGGTTTTTTTTTCATTACGTAAAAAAGTCACAGCAGCTAAAGGAAATCACTGAACCCTGTCTTGCGATCTTATACAAATCAATGTGTACCCTGTTTAGCGATTACAAGGACGTTTTACTTCCGATCACTAAAACTTTCTTGGAACCTTTATAGCTTAACTTTAACATTTCTTGATATAACAGGAAGTTTAGGTAGACTTGTATATATACTGTGACAGTGGTTAAATGGGTAAGACTAGTAAATATTGTAATGCCATGTGCCACAACAGTTAAAAAGTATTCATATATATATATGAAATGTTATTTTCCACTTCAGGGATCTGAGTAACAACCGCCTTACAGAAATTCCTGCTGCAATCAATGCCTTACCTGACCTATTTGATCTGTACGTACTAAACTAAGATAATATGTTTAAAAATGGTACAACAATTTGTATTCTTTTGCTCGTTACATGTGCATTACATCAAGTTGATATTTTTATATGTCTAGGAATATCACATGTTCGTCGAATATTTTATGATGTTCGTGTCAAATAAGAGAGGATAGATCAATATAGGAGAGCGAGATTCACTTTATAGCACCCCCTTGCAACCGCAATCCACACAATGCAATTTAATTTTTACCAAATTCATAGGTGGTTTTTTTTGGATAAAGTATAGATAGCCATTTGCTTGTTTTCAGATCAGTTAGAGAAAATAGAATAGCTTATTTACCTGACGGCTGCTTTTCAAGTAACAAGAAGTTGTCGATACTAAACCTAAAAGAGAACCCTATTGTTTCGTGCGGTGTTAACACATTTAGTGGTTTACCAGATCTGGGAGAGCTGTAAGTGTATTTGAGGTCGCGTTCTGAAAATGTTTAGATAAATTTTGATCTTTGTTATGCGGTATGTAACACATATTACTTAATTACCTAAATAGATCAGTAACATTGTGACGGACACATGTATCCAGTTGTTTTTTTTAATATGAAATAGAATTGAACACGTCAGAAAGTGGTTTTAAAATTATTTGCTGTTGCTGTTTTTGTTGTGTTTTTTTTTGTAAGAAAAATTAGATATGATTGTAGATGCTAAATTATTTTAGAACACAATCTCAATGATCTTTTAAGCACCAATGGTTTTCTGTTTGACATATGTTATTAAAATTTTGTAGGAGTTTTTTTCTCAAAATTTTATCATTACAGCATAATTATATTTCTTCTATTAAACATTTTGGTTTAAGTTAAATACTGTATGAAAAATCACGTTATTTCATTGTCTTTATACTTCATTCTATATGTTAAACTTCTATCTTACCTCTCATATTTTGAGGTTATATATTGCAGTGTTTTATCGGAGGCCGGTGAGTTAACAATATTTCCGAACCTTGCCGGATCAACAAGTCTCGAGAAAATAAGTTTGGATAGAGCTTCAATAACAAGTCTACCTGACAAACTGTGTCAAAACCTTCACCAACTCACTGTATTGTATGTTTTATATTTATGTTTGTTATCCTTTTATACTGTTTATTTTTAATGAAACAAAACTCATACTCATTCGTATAAAGTTTTATACAAGTTTTATTGATTGTGACAATTCTTTGTGACATTAATTTTCGAATAAAGATTATTTCCAATAATCTAAATACTAAATCCGCAGTTGCTTATTAGATATATGTATATGAAAATATAATAATATGCAATTTAATGGCAATATCAGTTGTGAAACAATGTTTAAGGACGCAGTTAAGCAAGTCGTTTCTTAAGGTTTTTGTTTTAGACATACATTAAAACCGTATCCATTTCAAAACTTTTGAAAATTCGACAAACAAACTTATTTAGCGCCCGGCTAATATACTCGTTCATATACCAGTACAGATGCTATGATTTACCAGTACAACTGGTATGATGTACCAGTACAAATGGTATGATGTATCAGTACAACTTGTATAATGTGCCAGCACAATTGGTATGATGTACCAGTACAAATGGTATGATGTATCAGTACAACTTGTATAATGTACCAGTACAAAAGATATGATGTACGAGTACAAATAATAATATGAACGAGTACAAAAGATATGATTTACCAGTACAAATGGTATGAATAATCAGTACAAAATATATGATGTATCAGTACAACTTGTATAATGTACCAGTACAAATGATATGATGTACCAGTACACATGTTATGATGTAACAGTACAAATGATATGATGTAACCAATGATGAACCAATACAAATTGTATGATGTACCGGTACAAATGACATGATGTTCTAGTACAAATGATCTAATGGTATGATGTACCAGTACAAAATTATAAGGCAGTGTTTTTTCACTTTTGGGGGAAGGGGGTCGGTGCCTTTTGGAGGGGGAAAATGCAATAGGAGGGGGAATTTTATTTGTTTACTTATCTTTGCGATGGAAAAGGGGAGCAACTCTTGCAACACAAGTTTAAAATACGTCTCTTTTTCTCAATATACGGATCTAAAATATCGATGCGTCGCATGTTAAACTTGTTGGGACGCCGGGAGTAGCCCCCCTTACCTACCAGAGAACGATTTGTAAACAACCTTGCTTAACAGTAACTCTTACAGGCATTAAATAAAACATTTTTTCGGCAGTAAGTTGCAAAAAAAAAAAAAAGATTTTTATTGCAGGCAAATTGGGGCTGCCATATAGGGGGAAATTAAGGCTTTGAGGAGGGAAAAACATACTATTTTGAGGGGGGAATGGGGCCGAATTTCGCCGAATATTTTGATGAAAAAACAACACTGTAAGGTAACAATACAAAAGATATGATGTACGAGTACAAAAGATATGATGTACGAGTAAAATGATATGATGTAACAGTACAAATGATATGATGTACCAGTACAAATGATATGATGTACCAGTACAAATGTTATGATGTACCAGTACAAATGACATGATGTACCAGTACAAATGTTATGATGTTCTAGTACAAATGATATGATGTACCAGTACAAATAGTATGATATACCAGTACAAAAGATATGATGTACGAGTACAAATGGTATGATGTACCAGTACAAATGGTATGATGTACCAGTACAAATGGTATGATGTACCAGTACAAATGATATGATGTACCAGTACAAATGGTATGATGTACCAGTACAAATGGTATGATGTACCAGTACAAATGATATGATGTACCAGTACAAATGATATGATGTACCAGTACAAATGGTATGATATACCAGTACAAAAGATATGATGTACGAGTACAAATGGTATGATGTACCAGTACAAATGGTATGATGAAGCAGTACAAATGATATGATGTACCAGTACAAATAGTATGATATACCAGTACAAAAGATATGATGTACGAGTACAAATGTTATGATGTACCAGTACAAATGATATGATGTACCAGTACAAATGTTATGATGTTCTAGTACAAATGATATGATGTACCAGTACAAATAGTATGATATACCAGTACAAAAGATATGATGTACGAGTACAAATGATATGATGTACGAGTACAAATGTTATGATGTACCAGTACAAATGAGATGATGTACCAGTACAAATGGTATGATATACCAGTACAAAAGATATGATGTACGAGTACAAATGGTATGATGTACCAGTACAAATGGTATGATGAAGCAGTACAAATGATATGATGTACCAGTACAAATAGTATGATATACCAGTACAAAAGATATGATGTACGAGTACAAATGTTATGATGTACCAGTACAAATGATATGATGTACCAGTACAAATGTTATGATGTTCTAGTACAAATGATATGATGTACCAGTACAAATAGTATGATATACCAGTACAAAAGATATGATGTACGAGTACAAATGATATGATGTACGAGTACAAATGTTATGATGTACCAGTACAAATGAGATGATGTACCAGTACAAATGGTATGATATACCAGTACAAAAGATATGATGTACGAGTACAAATGGTATGATGTACCAGTACAAATGATATGATGTACCAGTACAAATGTTATGATGTTCTAGTACAAATGATATGATGTACCAGTACAAATGGTATGATATACCAGTACAAATGATATGATGTACGAGTACAAATGGTATGATGTACCAGTACAAATGATATGATGTACCAGTACAAATGTTATGATGTTCTAGTACAAATGATATGATGTACCAGTACAAATGGTATGATATACCAGTACAAAAGATGTGATATACGAGTACAAATGGTATGATATACCAGTACAAAAGATATGATGTACGAGTACAAATGGTATGATGTACCAGTACAAATGATATGATGTACCAGTACAAATGGTATGATATACCAGTACAAAAGATATGATGTACGAGTACAAATGGTATGATGTACCAGTACAAATGGTATGATATACCAGTACAAAAGATATGATGTACTGGTACAAATGATATGATGTACCAGTACAAATGGTATGATGTACCAGTACAAATGTTATGATGTTCTAGTACAAATGATATGATGTTCCAGTACAAATGGTATGATATACCAGTACAAAAGATATGATGTACGAGTACAAATGTTATGATGTACCAGTACAAATGATATGATGTACCAGTACAAATGGTATGATGTACCAGTACAAATGATATGATGTACCAGTACAAATGTTATGATGTAACAGTACAAAAAGATATGATGTACGAGTACAAATGGTATGATGTACCAGTACAAATGATATGATGTACCAGTACAAATGTTATGATGTTCTGGTACAAATGATATGATGTACCAGTACAAAATGGTATGATGTACCAGTACAAATGTTATGATGTTCTAGTACAAATGATATGATGTACCAGTACAAATGGTATGATATACCAGTACAAAAGATATGATATACGAGTACAAATGGTATGATATACCAGTACAAAAGATATGATGTACGAGTACAAATGGTATGATGTACCAGTACAAATGATATGATGTACCAGTACAAATGGTATGATATACCAGTACAAAAGATATGATGTACGAGTACAAATGGTATGATGTACCAGTACAAATGGTATGATGTACCAGTACAAAAGATATGATGTACGAGTACAAATGATATGATGTACCAGTACAAATGTTTTGCTGTACCAGTACAAATGACATGGTGTTCTAGTACAAATGACATGATGTACCAGTACAATATGCAAAAATAGCCATTCTGCGTTAGTCACGCAGTAGAAATATGGTGATAAATACTGCAAAATCAATCATAGCATAAGCATTGTTCCTTGAATCTTGAATCATTTTACTTTTATTAAAATTGTAATAATTTTTTTCGAAATGCGATCTGACATGCAACTTTAAAAACTAAGACTCGGTGTAATAATTAGGTTATAATAAACTTGTGATTTCAGCAAAACTTTTGATATATCGTACATGTAAAATATTATCAATTACTTTTAATGTATTATTACGATCACGTAAATTATCGCTTTTTTCAGAGATGTTCACAAAAACCAAATATCGTCAATACCAAATATGACTGACTGCCATGCTTTAACTTCTCTGTGAGTTTTTGTGTCTGTTTTAGCATTTATAAAATCGTAGTTACCTATATACAATTATTTAGTACATAAGACGTTGTTTATTATTGAAATAATTAACAAAATCGATATAATATATGATTAATTAAAAATAGACAGCATAAATTGGAAAAATATTAAATTTGTTTACTACAACTTTTTGCTTAAACAAATTGAACTAAGAATATTTGAAATTTATTTCAGAACGTTTGATCTTAGCCAAAAATAATTTGGTAAAAAATCCATTTTTCAGTTGTTTTTACCACATTTCTTACGTACCCACATTAATTACGTCTGGCCCTGTGATATATCAAGAGTAAAAATTCAGTAATTATTGCTTATTTATTCTCAACGGTATATTTGTTTTCCAGTAACCTCGGAAATAATGGAATATCAGAAATTATCGGATCCCCACTGGAAGGCCTGTACAGTCTGAAAGATCTGATTTTATCATATAATAAGATAAGATATATTTCTGGTACAGCATTTCTAGGACTTCCAAAGCTGCAATATTTGTAAGTATATCACCTCATCCCATGACGACATGAAATCTTACAATTGCATTTGTAAAAGTACGTATAGCTATGTTAGACAGTGAATGTTTAATAAATATACTTAACGGATTAATTCGTTTACCATAATAATATTTAAGAATTATAGAGTAGCACGCAGATGAACGTAATGCGACATTTTTAATTTACATACCCCTTTTTCTCCGCTTAAAATGTTTCTGTTATCATATTCTAACAACATGCGAAGTATAAAGAAATTCTATTATTAATAAATAGAGGATTTTTGTTTGTTTTGCATGCTAGATTGAAATTTATTTCACTGAGTCACCAGATGCAATATTTTCACGAGTGAAATATATTCTTGATTTTATGTAATTTTAACTGATTTTGCCTCGTAACGTCTCTGAATTCGTCACATCATGACGTCACATCATCAATTTAGAAATATAGTTCCGTTAAATTTCCCTATTTTTGTTACATTTTTAACATGATGTATGATGACATCAACTTTCTTTTCCTTAAAAAAAAATTAACGTAAGATGGCATTTATTTTTTCCTGTTATTCCATTTAGTTATGATATTCATTTCATCCTCATTCAGATATAGTTCGGCTACAGTGAAAATTATATTTTATAAATTTCACTAGTGGTTTATCAGAATATTATCATCTGATATATTATAGTAAAACACTATAAAGCATGAAATAAGCAGTTTTAATTTTGCCTATATGTCTACAAGAAAACTCCCGAAAACGTCCTTAAGGTAGAACGCGACACTTTGCGAACTTTCGAGTAGCGTCTTGAAAATTGGCATGCAAATAGTTGTCCATATTTCTGATTAGGTTACGTTGATTTTATTTCAATAGTTTCAGCCAATTTTTGTGCACACGGCGTCAAAGTTGACCATCAAAGCCCGTTTCTTTGCGTATCCTTGACAACTGTTACGGTTATTTCAACGCCGTTGGCGGACAAAATATCTTAAATTCTACAGCATTCGACGGAAATTATTTTTTCCCTTAAGCTGATATAAAATTATTGTTTTACGCTGAAAAATGTTTGGAAAATGGATGGAAAATTGTCAATTTTGTGTAAAACTTGACGTTCAGTTTAGCTGCATGTTTCGGCTTTAAAGCGGCTTATTAAAAAATTTCTGAAATAAATTTTTGATTTTTTTCTTTAAACGTACTTTAAAATGTCATGTTTTCAACGTGCAAATACTATGTCACTAGACGGGTATGTGATTCATATATTTAAAAAGAATTAAACGTGCAATGGACGTGTGCTCGCGTCATTTTAATGCATTTTTACTTCACTGTTAATGTATAACTGCGTATGGAGTTTTCATGCTAATATATACTTTAATAACTGCACGATTTTGTTATCTGATCTGTTTTACAAAAACAATAGCTAATACAAAGCTATTTTCTTCTACGTTTTCGTCATTATCTTCACGTTTCTTACATTTGTCTCAAAATGTACTTTGCGTTATCTTCAGGTACATACAATAACGTGGATATAGAAAAGTACTTTCGTGACTAAGTATAATATAGATTTATGAGTAAGATTTAAAAAAAAAAAAAAAAAAAAAAAAACACACACACACAAGCATTACATTTTAATGTTGTCAAGCATCTCTAAAGATAGTCCATGTTACAAATACTAAGATAGTAAAGTCCACCCGACGCGAAAGAGAGAGAGAGAGAGAGAGAGAGAGTAAAATCATTTGGTGCATGGGACTGTCCGGTATTGGGTATGAATCTAGTATGTCGAATTCTTGTATGTCAAACTTTAACAAGTGCTGTTCTTGGAACTATATCAAAATCTAGCACAATAAAAAATTTGGCCTAGGATAGAATTGTGTCATCAATTGAATGATTTTTGAAGCAAATATGTGCGAAAAATAAGATTAAAAGTCAGGAAAACAATTACTTTCAAAAAGTAACACGTTTACTTTTTTATGTAACTATGTCTGTACAAGTTATCTCGTTATTTTTCAGAGATTTATCCAACAATATAATTACCTATATACACCCGGAAGCTTTTGCTGCTTTGAAAAACCTAGAGGATTTGTACGTATCTATTCACATTTGTAGTACATGCTATTTGTCTAATACATTCATATTTAGTGTACATATATGGTACCCATAATACATACAGAACGTTTGTCAGTAAGTCTTCCTCATACACACATAAAAGTATTTATGGTTAGGAAACTACCCGCTACATGACTGAAATACTGTTGAAACAAACAAACAAACAAACAAACAAAAGTATTTATATTCAAATTAGAAAACAAGACTACCATTAAACTCAATTACAGTAGTATATACCTAGGCTACTTTGCCAATGTTTTATCTTATTTAAAATATGAACTCAAAACTAAAGAATGCCAAACCTCCCATTCCAAAAGAAAAACAACAACAACATCAACACAAACACCAACAAAAACAACAAATAACAAAGTTGCAGGCTCCTTTAATTCAGTCTGTTCATAGACGGTAGTGCACCGACTTAATTGTTAAGCAGTAGTCAACAAGTATTCACGACTAAGATGACATGATTTTAGTTTTTGTAACAAAACTGTCATTAACTTTATAAATGTCTGTTTTTTACTTTTAAAAGGCTACTTATATAATCAGTGTTTCTTTATATGCATAACCAAGTGTTTAGAGGCAATCACAACACCCTTCTGTTCCAGAAATGTTGCGGAAAACCAGTTTGATAGCTTACCAACTAAAGGATTACAAAGGTTACGTCACTTGAAAACGTTCCACAATACAAGGTTACAAGAACCTCTACTGCCAGATGCATTTCCTCAGATCCTAACGCTAAAAGTTGCATATGCATATCACTGCTGTGCCTTCATTAACCAATATAAAGGTGTAAGTACTAATTTCAAATTAACGATATGTAACTTTAGATAGGCTAAATTACTTCAATATTTATAATTTATTTAACATTTAACTGTACAACACGGGAATAAAATTGGAGGAACTAGAGGAGTACACGTCTCGAGACACCATATTGGACGAGTCGCCTGGCGATATGATTTTTAATTTTAAAGCTGCACACCTCCAGATTCATGTTAGTTTTCATGAAAAATTTTAAGATGTATTTTAAAGTAAAATATTGTGAGGTGAACAAATAAAGTAATTTACAAATTGCAATCGGCACTTACAATCCAAAAAAAAATACCAAAAAGTGGTCCACATATGCAAAACAGCCCGCTACTGTGTTAGTAAAGCAGTAGAAATATGATAATAAATTACTGCAAAAGCAGTCTTAAACCGCACATAACATGCAAAATATAATACTTGGATCTTCAATATTTTAACTTTTCTGAAATTTTAGTACATTTATCTCAATATTGATTTTCTTGAAATATCTGGAGGCGTGCAACTTTAAAGCTGTGTACGAGTTAAAATACATGTATATTCCAGTATTGCACTTGTTTAATGTTAAATGTTTGATAACCTATTTATTCTATATCAAAATTATATTAAAGAAAAGCGACTTAATAATGACATGGTTTGACGTTGCAAGGAAAAGGCAAAACGTTCTTAATTAACTGTTAAAAGTAGGATAATTGTATTTGACGTTACAGCTGTTGCGAGCAGAAAAAAAGTAAAAATTGAAACAAATTTTAAGGCGACTGGTCAAATTAATATTCTGTTTAATCAGATGAACATCTATTTTGTAGGATAAAAACATAGAAGGAGCATTGACATTTGACGAGAAGGTCAAGTGGTTAATAAAAACAAATGCTACACCATTTCTACAGGATAGTAAGTGAAAAAAATGATTTTGTACTTAGCTGAAACTTAGACATAACATGCTTTGTCTTGTCTTATTAATAGTGTTGCTTTTATGTAGCTGAACAATTAAAAAACATCTTACAGATATGAAACTTCAGTTATATGTTGTCTGTTTATTGTCTTTCTACTTTATTTATAGATTGACATTGGATGTATGAAGAGTATCTAAATTACCATAAAACAAACCCAATCATTATGTTAATAAACTAAAGGCATTATATCAAAAGTTTGAATATCCTAATTGAATATACAACTTTATGTTAATTGATATGATAAAAATCGTTTACAATTTTAATTTTTGTAGGATCAAACCTTAGTTACGACTGGGGAGATCCAGATTACTACTATGATTTTAATACTCCACTGTACGAGTATGAACTTAACAGAACAAATTTAACTACTGACGAGGAGTATACTGACGGGATGGCATCAGCCTATTCATTTGAAACCATGGTTAGAATCAAACCACCTGTTCGCTGTGAACCGTTACCGGGTATGTATCGTGCAATAATTAGGTTGAAAATGAAGAATGATTACATTGAAATATAACTGCAACTGCCAGTGCGTCGGAGATAACGCTGTTATAATAAATTTCGTAATGTGTATGCAGGTATTATATGATTATCAAAATGGTTTCATAATTATATGCATGCTCGTTTTTTGTAATTTGATTAATTGGCGCAATGCCTTGTTTAGTTATAATGTTGACATAGCCTTACAATAATGACATATTACTAAAATACCGGTCACTAGATTACTTAAGCTAACATGTTATTACATTGATGACCATTGATTACTAACTCAAAGATTATACAGCATTTTTACAACTGCATCAGTGTGCAAGACATCGCATATCTAACTATATGTACTAAATTCTTTCCAATATGCATCATTTGTTTCGTGTTTATACAGATCCGTTCCAGCCATGCGATGATTTGTTTGGTTGGTGGTCTCTCAGATGTGGTGTATGGATCGTGTTCCTACTAGCTGTTCTAGGTAATGGAACTGTGCTTTTTGTGTCTTTGACCAGCAAATCCAAGATGGATGTGACACGATTTCTCATATGTAACCTAGCGATGTCTGATTTATGTATGGGGATATACCTGGGCTTTCTTGCTGTCGTTGATGCTTCAACTCTAGGTAATTATATTTTTAAACTATTGATTGAGGCAAGGGATGGCAATCATAATTATATGCTTACTAAAGAATAATCAGGAAGACGTTGAAATAATATAACTTTACTATGCATTGGTCGAAAATACAATATTATTTTATTAAAAGATGGTAAGTTACTTATACTTAGTATTTAGATGAAATATAAAAAATCTAAAATATCTGTTTATGTAGCAGGAGTCAAAAATAAGACTTTTCACTGTATTTCAACGATTTGCAACCATTAAAAAATCATTGTTATGCCCCAAATTTTAATTTCAACGATTTTCTATTGCATTTCTACAATATTATAACGTAATTTCAGGAAAATTTGAGAATCATGCAATCTTCTGGCAGACAGGTCCTGGATGTCTGGTTGCCGGATTTCTCGGCGTTCTGTCCAGTGAATTGAGTGTGTTTACATTAGTGGTTATCACAATTGAGAGATTTTACGCTATATCACACGCAATGCAGATTGGGAAACGTGTGAGATTAGGACATGCTGGTAAATATGCTACAAATACTTATCATAGCTGATATATTAATAATCAAGCATCACGTAAACAATTGAAAGAAATATATATTTATTATAAACTAATCTAGGTCAATTAAGGTGCATATGAACAACACAGCTTCATATCAGCGTTTAGTGAATGAAAAAGCCTTTGAATTCTGTTCATAGTGAATATAATATATTATAATGATATTATCAAAATTCGGGAAATGAGAAATTATTACAGTGCAATGAAAACAATTAGTTACAAATCATAGATTCGGTGTTGGTTATGTTAAGTCTGATGTTAAGTTATAGTAGAGTCTGTTTATGAGAGGTCATTGAAAGTATCAGTACATTATTTCATTGCGTTTGTTTTTTGGTTTTTTTTGCTTTCATATGACTGTTTTTCCTCCATCATTTAAATATGGTACTCAGTGAACGAGTTGTTTTGAAAGACTTGTACCTTACCATTGTGGGTTCGAATCCAATCTGCGACTTTTGATGTTTTTCATGTGAGATAACTATCTAGCGTGCTAACTGAATATCGACTGTTCCACTAAATGCCAGCATGAAGTAATGAACAGACGAATGAAACCAACTTACATAATACTGAAATATATATATATATGAACTGATGCAATACTTAACTTAGAGCAGGATGCTTCTAAATTCAAAATTTCACCATTTTCATGTTTAAATGATGTATTCTGTTTAAACCGGCGCTAGGGGGCGTGGACGGTAGATTGACAGTACCGTCCATGAACACGCTAAATCAAACCGAGTCTGCAACATTTTCAATTTTGCCGGTTTGGACTTTCTTTGGGGATTCTTATTTTTTTCTATTCTATATTTAGTTAAGTTTCTTCTGAAAAAAATAACAACTACACGTATTTTTAAAGATAATTTCATGTTTGTATTCTAGGTATAGTGATGACTTGTGGCTGGATTGTTTGTCTTTCAATAGCTAGCTTACCGTTGTTTAAAGTCAGTGATTATAGAAAGTTTGCTATTTGCCTACCATTTGATACCGAAGACGAACTTTCACTAGGTGAGTTAAATGCAATCAGAGTTTTATAGCATTAATTATACAATATGTAGTTAACTTAAAAATGATCACAATATGTAGTTAACTTAAAAATGATCCATCGGATTTCCAATATTGAAAAGTTAATTTCAGAGTATTTATGTACCTTATTATTCCATATATAAAATTAGGGTTTTCAGCTCTAATTATATACGAGCGGATCATTGTTTGGTCTCTTTGAATTTTTACTAATCATGGAGATAGCATCTCGAGAGAAAACAAAGTATTTTTGATTAATTTATCATGATGCGGAAACACATAAGTAAAATAATCAATAACAATTCTAATACTAAAGAAATGAAATTCATATGAACTGACGTTATATATGTGAGAAACTTTCACATATGTTTCTTATTTCAAATTGCAAGATATTTGCCTACAAAGAAAACCATTTATTTGCGATATAATATCCCTATTGTATAAGTAGCTTATATACTGAGACGTTTGACACAAATGTATTAAGTGTTGAACAACGCTTTCACCGCTCGATAAAAGTAATTTCAATAATGTCACAGATGGTTTCTTTTGGAACTTGTTTCAGACACAAATGTTACATTAAATATTACAGCTTATTACATCTTAGCTGATATTATTGTTATATCTTTTTATCGAATGCGGTCATATTTCAATTTCAAATATTTTAATTATTGTTATTTCTTGACATTAATCAATGCTAAGATTCATGGAAGCAAACCGACATATCCATGTTTTTCAATGTTACGAGGTATATTTTATATAGCACTATTATCACTCAAGATATGTTTAAACATTCATTTTCAAAATAATAAAATTTAATTGTTCTCAATTAAAACAAATTGCAAACAGCCACAATGGTATCGTCTTTCTAATTGTTAAGGTTGTCCTTTAACAGGCACAGACAAACCGAGATTTCATTTTTTTAACGCGTTCATTAAAATTTCTTAATGTATACATTCAATCAATACACAAACTGTGTTTTTAACGGTATTATTTCCTATCATTTCAGCTTATGTCTGCTTCATCATGATATTCAACGCTATATCGTTTATCATCATTGTCATCTGTTACGGAGGAATGTTCATTTCTATCCGTGCATCACATACCTGGAACTCCAAAGACTCGATCGTGGCAAAGAGAATGGCTCTTCTTGTATTCACTGACTTTTTCTGCTGGGCCCCGATTATATTTTTCTCGCTGACAGCAGCTTTTAATTGGCACTTCGCAAGAATAAGCCTAGACGAAGCAAAGGTTCTGACTATATTTGTGCTTCCTTTAAATAGTTGTGCAAATCCATTTTTATACGCGTTCTTTACACGTCAATTCAAACGAGACTGTGTAAAGCTATGTAAAAGAATTGAGGAGTCTAGCATATCTCGTCATTTTTCAAGTAGTGGTCTTGGAAGGATGTCAGCAGTGTCTCATAGACATCATCAGATCAACAGTTGTAGCGGCAAAAGAAGCTGCGAGAACTCCCTTAATGAACCAAGTACATCCGGGGAAGCTTCGTCGTCTAACAATCCATCTGACGACTCTGATTTGACTGTCAGAAAATTACCACTTACACGTGAGGAAAAGCAAATTCTACACTACATGCGGTCTGACTTTCGTCTACCGCAGTCAAGACTAGCCTCACCAACAGAACTTTCGTCACCCGAAACAGAAATTAGACCAATGCTTCGAAGCAGCCAAGAACCAAACTTAGAGTCCAGGGCTGCAAGGCTTTCTCCTCGGCCAATGTTAACAGAAGAACGTCATGACAACTCTCACGATATAGTTCTACATACAAAAGAAGGAAATGTATATTTAAGCGCAAAACCAAAAACTTTTAAAAGTATAAGAAATAAGGAAGGTAAAGTCAGATATTTTAGAACTGATAAATGTGCACAGCGGCTTTGTCATCATTCTGTAAAATCAATAAAGCGAACACAATCAATTCCATTTGGAAGCCGGTCAGTCCATTCTCAAACTGCTGATTCTTGTGGTGAAAACGAAAATATCAAATCACTTCAAACTATGGAGACAGAACTAAGAGATACAAACGTTGAAGACAAAGCACGCAAGAAGTTCGAAACAGACAGAAGCAAAGATCTTGGTTTGAAAATTGATAATTTTAAGTCAAAGCCAGTTCAAGCTTCAACTAAAAACGAAACTGAAAAATCTATTGGCAAAACTATTTCTACCCAAACTGAAATGCTTGTTCCTTTACGACATACGCGAAATCCCGACCTTACAGCTGATATAACAAAACGCGAAAAAGATAAACATATCAATGAATGGCGAAAAACGTCACATTTGTCATTTCTCTGGAGGAATTCAGGAAACTTCGATGTGTTGAATCAGAAACAAAAGTCAAACAGTTTAGTAGAACTTACAAGACCATTAAGTAACTTGCAAAATGCAGCAGCAAAGAGACATAGCTTAACGTCTAAACACGAAGGATACATTCTTTTAAAAAATTCAAGCAGAGATTCCGCCTATGAAGAAGATGAACTATATGAATTCTATGACGGCAGTATAACGTGTCCTGATGTTGAAAAACAACCATATAAGGGTTCTTCCGAGAAGAAGACTAAACGCGAAAAGGACAAAAAGGAAACAGCAAAAGAAAACAAACGAATTTCTCCGAAAACAGAATTATCTATGGATAGTGATGAATGTTGTGAAACTTCGATGTTACTTTCCAATCGACTTCCAGACAATCTATGTATTCCTAAAGGAAGACAAAGTTGTGACATTGAGAGTGGTATAAGCTCAAGTTCATGAATTATGACAGATATGTTATGTTAAATATGTATATAACTTAATCCTCAATCTTATAAAAATGAAAAAGAAAAGTTCTAGCAAAGTCACATTTAAAAGTCAATTTTAAAACAATTTGTATTTTAAAAAGCAGTTTAGTAATAAAATGAAACGTACATATCGCTGTTCTTTAATTAATGATTAAAGTAATTCAATCCTCGTGAGTTATCAAAGCATTTATTCACTACAGGCAATTATTCTTTGCTAAAATATATTATGTCAAGATTGCATACGTAAAATATTAAACCTGTTGTTATATGTTTGAATTATACTTCTAGCATGAAAAGTAGGAAACATGAGCATGAATAATCTTTAATCGAATTATATTTAGAGGATATTTTATGACTGAATGTTCAATATACCAGCCTCTGGCGAGTATGATATTATTTAATTCAACGAATTCATCAAATTTAGCATTGAACCATAACGAAAATGATATTGTATAATCTATGGCGTGTGGAACGTTGCACAATTTGAAAACATTTTTATTTGATTTACCTTTAATTTCATATTCTAAATTTTAAAATTATTCATTTATGTTATAAACAAATAAATATTTATATGGTAAAATATATCTATATTGCATAAAAGTTTTTATGTTCTATATTTTTATTTATATTTGAAACGCATATATCTATATTTGAAACGCAGAGATAAACTTGTATTCTAGGATCTAATTGGCTCATTTTTATTGTCATTTACAATGTTTTACATAATATTTTAAGCCTATTATAGCATTCGGCACGATATGGCCAGTTATGTGTTGACGTGCCGTAAAATCCAAACAAACAAACAAACATGATTAAAAATTGATGTGGTATAAAAACGCATTCATATTCGATAAAGTGGTAAAAATACATTAATTGCTTCATGGGATACTGATAGCATTTGTAACGAACGGTATTATTAGACCACGATAATTTACGTAATTTACGTTACAATCATAACCCATGACGCAATATTGAACACATATTAATTTTCTTTGTATATCATATAAATGTATAATTTTATTTTAACAGCAAAAAATGTTAACAATATAAATATATAAGTTTTGAATGTAAAAGAAAATATATTTTAAAACAAAAAATGCGGAGTTTATCACATAAATATCATTTTTTACAACATAAATATAAAATTATACAATATAAATGTGCATTTATATCACATGAAAATAAATATACTTTGAATTTTGCAACGTTCTACACGCCATGATATATTAATGTATAACAAAAAATAACTTTACGGAAGAAAAACTCACCATTTCATTGACTGACGATGACTTTGGCGCATTTTCCGTCGTATTTGTATAACGACAATGATTTCACGCTGCAATTTTATAACTCATGTAATATCGTTATCGTCTTTATTCCCTCATGTGCTATGCTTCATGTAATAACTTAAACAGTTGGAAGAATGGGGCCGTGTCAACATTTGAAAGAATGGTGGCACCTTAACATATTTAAGTATTATAAAACTTGATTATTTAAGTATACAATATGAACAAAATTAATCCGTATATCTAGCACTTTATCCGTGTCCGGAGGTACTTTTCTTTTTTCAACTGTTAAACAAACAAAAAACTTCTTTGTCATACATGAGGATTATTTTACGATTATGTATTTTTAACAAATAATTATTTATGCCAAGTCATAAGGACTTCCTTTTTCATGAAATAAAGTGAGCGAGTGAACAAGTAAATTCGGAGAGAAGACTTAAAGTCACATATGTATTAAAACAATAAAAGGAACCATAGAATACCGATATCACATAAAAGTTAAAAAATGAATCATAAGAACTCGTGTACGTCATAAGAAAGAATGAAGGAAGAAAGAAACTTAGATGATTGCAGCAAAACGTAGTGGTTCTTGTGTGCGAATTTTCAAATCATTCGCTCTCTCCAGTTTTCGAGGATTATTATTCTAATTGTGAGAAAATGACCAAAATTGGAAAATCAATGCAACGCTTTTCACTCAAATCGGCCAGGAATAACATACAAATTGGTAAATCTTTCTGTTTTAAGTACCCCAGCTGATCAATGTAAGAAATTTTATGAAGTTCATGTTAAGCATAGGATCCTCATAATCAAGAAAAAGTGTAAAAACATAGTATGTAAAATTGCCATGCACGTAAAGTAATCTAAAGCTGTATGCCTCCAGATGAGCCAAAATATTTCAAGAAAAATAAAATTGAAAAAAAAAACGTTCTAAGATTTTATGAACATTAGAAATATTAAAGATTCAAGTAATAATCTACATTTTATATGGCTTATATACTTTATATACTTTAAATGGCTGATTTTGCAGAATTTATTACCATATTTCTACTGCATTACTAACGCAGTAATGACTAATTTTGAATAATTTGACCTCTTTTCGGTAATTTATGTGGATTTTAAGTGTCGTTTGCAATGTGTAAATTACTTTCCTTGTTATCTTCACATAATTTTACTGTTTAATTACGTTTTCCAAATTTTCATGAAAATAAGCTTTAATCTGCAGGCGTGTTGCTTTAAGTAACCATTACTCACTAGCATTCCATAATAACATTTAAAAATGTCTAAAATGAGAAGCCATGGCGCCGTTTGTCGTTACAGAAATATTGTGAAAAAAAAAAAGAAATATGAAAATTTGCACAGCCATAACTCATATTTACTTTTCGGACTACCGTCTCAGATTTTTCTCTGTTGTAGTCATTAGCGTTATTTATACATTATTATTATAATTTTATACAATACCGAATTATATAGAAAGGACATATATATACGTGCTACTAATCAATACCGGGGTATATCAATATATAGAAAAAAACGGTACATACAATATCTGTATGTTATAGACAAGACGTTTGTTTGTTTGATTGATTGGGTTTTACGTCACATCGACAAAGTATAGGTCATATGGCGACGTTCCAGCTTTACTGATGGAGGAAGGCCTCGGGTGCCCTTCCGTGCATTATGTCAGGCACGGACGGGCACCTGAGTAGAACCACCGACATTCTGTAAGCTAGCTGGATAGCTTCCTCACATGAAAGAATCAAAAGTCCCTGTCGGGATTTGAACCGACAGTGGTGAGGTGCCAGTGGTTTGAAGCCAACGACCTTAACCACTCGACCACGGACGTGCCTAGACAAGACGTACAAAAACGTTATATTATGTATTACCTTTATTATATATTGACATAATCGCATAATGGTGAGGATCAACCAATTATTAATAATCATATCTTATTTAGAGCAGGTGGTTCATTAACAATGTACAACAACAATCGTATATCTTACTTCCATTGTACTGATGGCATATATTTTAATCATGACAAACCGCCGCGCTAAATACAATGACTAAAGGCCAAAGTGTTTTCTAGTAATTGGTTTCAATATTCACGACCACTGTGACCTTAAAACGTCCGACCTCAAAATCAGTAGAGGTCAATTACTAGTCATAAAAAAACATCCTTATCTAATATACACTTTGCTAATTCTTTGTTTTAACGCTTAACGAATCATCCATAAAATGGTTAAGAATGCAAACTTTATGACCTATATAGCTTGACGGTTATCAGATTTATTATTGCAATGCATTTTTCCTGTTTCAATTGTGACTAAAACGACATTAATTGCTAACTCATATGTGTTTTGTTCCTCACATACAGTTGTTTCTTGAATATGACGCTCACTGTTACAAATTCAAGCACCATTCAAGATTTCAGGAAACACTCTCGGCGAAAAAATGCTAGGCGGTGATTAATGAAACGTTTCCTAACAGAATGTATAACCCTGGAAGCGATTATCTGCCAGTGAAGCAAATTGATCCAATTTATTTGTTGTTCTTTTTTGTTTGTTTGTGGAACAGTAGAGGTAATACTGGAATGTTAACAACGAATTGATAGGTGGTTGTAAACTGCACGCGCAGATGTGGTTAACGGGGTAATGCAGTCGATAGAAACATTGTAGTTCAGAATTAATTATCATTTTGTTTTATCCTCGTTATTATGATAACATTATATATCTAATAGAGAATAAATACGTACGGGTAAATATGAGACCAAAGATCAACAAGGCAGATCGACATTTGACGAATACAAGGGAAAAGTACGACGATAAATTATTATCAATATTTTCTGAATATTTATATTATAAATCATCACTGAACATTTTCATGTTATATTAGCCAATGTTAATAAATGAATCCCTGCCAAGTGAAATTCTAACAGTTGCTATGGTTATAAAAGAAAACACATAAATGATCATAACGTAGATATAAACGGAAAACTCAAAACCATAACAAAAGAACCCAATGCAATAAAGGAGACAGAGCAGTAAAACTATACCGTTAGAGTACCCCTAGGTGACAATTAAATCCAAAGGTTTTTTTAAAAAAGGGTTTTTTAAGAACTGTCCATCAAAGGGTCTCCAACTTGATCAGTCCGCAGTATCCGACTTTAAAGGGCGTTGGACGGTATGCCTTGAATAAGAAGGGTCATAATCCTTTTTAATAAATGTTTGATAATTCTATGACAACGTGAACAAGGTATTATTTGGACGGGAAAATGTGTCCAATTCAACCGAAGGAACAATAAGGTTTAGTTTAAACATATTTTATTCATAATCATACAGAGTACATAATATACAATCATTCAATATATACAATGATGAAATGGATAAGAACGAAAGATATAAAATCTAACAATAAGGTTTATAACTAGGAGTGATAATTTCTGTTATGATACTATGTACACTAACATGTAAGAGTATTTAAAAAGTTACGTTCAATTTATGGATCGAGAAAGCTCACCATGCGTTTAGCTGTTGGTTTAATATATTTAGTATATATAATTCATTCTAGATGATTTCCGTGATAATACTATTCAAAATACGTATCACTTATTAAACACAGATACAAATTCATATATTATACATAAATAGACACGTTGCCATTTAAGTAAGGACAATAAGCATAACATCTACCACCGTTAATTACTGACGCACAGCGTGAAGTATCAAATA